CAAAACCACCAGCCCCAAAAATCGCGAAGATCAAGCAGACCCGAGTCAATCGCGCGAAAAAAGTGCACGGAAATCACGCGGAAATTAGAAGATGCCAATCCTAAAACGCCCACAAAGTCGCGCGGTCTCGAGTCAGTCGCGCAAAAGTCAAACAGGCGGTATTCGCGGAACACCCCCTGATGGGGGGCAATTGTTGGGTATGTGACTCGGATCCCGTCGCGCCAGAGAAACACTGAAAGCGTCAAAATAAAGGAGCGCGTTATCACTGACGCAATTAGAAAGACACACCGGCAAGCGCCTTCACCAAGAGCGCTACGCACGTCAACACCGACGCGATCAAAGAGGCCGAGCACTGAACGACGACGTCCGAGCGCAGTGTTGGCCAAGCTAACAAGTGTGGAAAACGACGCCGCGTCTCGTCCATCGAGTGGTCACATCACAGTCCTAGTCCTAGTCCTAGTCCTAGGTTTAATAAAAGGCTAGATGTACTTGTCCTAGGTAGAGGCATGGTCTAGTCTTCTGGCATGTCAGTGGTCATGTCACCATGTCCCTCACCCACCACCATGTAGCCTATAAATAGAGCATTTACTCCGGTGGGTGAGGGGATCGGATTTTTCTGACTCTATCTCTAAGATTATCAACTTCTCTCTCTAAGATATTTCTCTCTCAACCCTGTTCGTAATTTCATCAGTTCTTCCATCGACGGTTATTCTCCCATTGCTTACTCTCCTTGACCCATCTTCCCGAGTCTCACTCCTACACACCAGTTAGGCTCAAACAGAAACTATTTCCACCTGTCATAGTTTTTTTTATGAAAATCTCCACATCAGCAAAAGAATAGTCCAGCCAGCACTTATTAATGTTCCGTTAAAGTTATAGACGAAATGACTATATTTGTGTATTTTTCAAAATTTGGCTATTATTGTCGCAAAGTTCAAATTTTTGGCTATACAATACAGGTGTATTAAGCCAATTATAAAGCCTTGTTAAAAGAATTTAAAAATATGTGAGTATTAAATAAGTGCAAACTCCAAATAAATTTTTTTTTGCTGGTAAAAGTCGCATTCATTTATTATTTTTAACTTAAAAACTAAATTTACAGCCTATAATTCATATCAATTTGGCCTAATGATATTTATGTGGCCTATTACACACTAACTAAGAGACACTTCAAACTCCAAATATCATTGTTCAAAGAAATGATTTGGGAAAGAAGCTATCACTCCTCAATCTCTTCGAGGGGAAGTCTAAATATTTAGATTCTATACAATTCAAAAAATTTTATCTCTAGATTATCAATTTTTTTAAAATATTAATTGTTTTGGTAACTATGATTGTTAACATTTTATGAAAAAATAAATTTATATTTTACATGTTTGTTCTCGATAAAAAAAATTATAGTGGCTCGAAACATATTGGTAATAATATTTAGTGGATTAAATAATAAAGTAAGAAAAAAATATCTTAAAAATCACGATATAGAATCTCAAACCAGAAGAGATTTGATATCTCTATATTTTAGAAATAGTTTGGTGCCCGACCCGTTGGTCGGAATGTTATCTAAATTTATCAAATTATCTGAAATGCTAAATTCCGTATGACATTAAGGTGGCATCAAAATTATGTTTATATTTATTAAAGTCTTATAACTTTTCATCAATGATGAACTCTACAATCTTAATGATGATATTTATAACCAAAGTTGTCAAACTGGTTTAAGTCGTTGAGCCAGTCAAGCAAGTTGTTTGAAGTTTAATGGTTTGATTGCGCTCAACTTGTTTGAGCCTTTCTACCTTGGTTATAACATTGGTGAATAATTATTTATAACTTGTCTATTTAATGATGTTGTCACTTAGTTGTCTATGGTCGAAAAGAAAATTGACATAACAAAAAAAAGTGTTAAAAAAAAAACATAGCATAAATAGGAAACACATAATCTTAATCTTTAGCTAATATTTCTTTCTTTCTTTGTATTGAGAAACAATACACATATCAATATCTACACCTTTAAGTATTCTACACAAAACAATGACAAAATTAGTTAGAAAATAACATTCTCCATCCTACTCTATGCAATGAAGAAAATTGTTATCAACCAACATACTCAATTTTAGTTGAAGGGCAATATGATTCACTCAGCCAAAAACATTAAGCCTGTGTTGTGGTACCTATCTCGCTAATGCACATGACTACATCAATGCATTAATGAAAACTTCATCCCAACTTACATAATTTATCTTGTACTGCGGTTATTTCATATTAAACTAATTAACTCTGAAGGATACATATGATCAATTACTCTATAAATATAAAAGATTTAAATAAGTGAAATCATCTACAAAATTGGTATTCAGAAATTGTTTTCTTTTAAACTTACCCATTCCAATCATGTCGTATTATCAAGAGATTTAGGATTTAACAACTAACCGAACTAAAACTTTCAAAGAACTGATTACTTCTAGTTTGCATAACAATATCGTTGCTTTATGGTAGTTCTAATAATTAATACTAAGTTAAGAGTTTTACATAACATCTACACATTCACTACTACAATTTAATATAAAATATTTGAATAAATTATATTTAGGTTACAATTTTAAATTATCCTCTATTTATAAGATAGACGTAAATTAAATTTATTATTAAACTCAAATTCAAATAATTGAAATATGAAATTCAAGTATCAAACCAAGGAAAGTACTTATAGGAGAGTTAGCGGGATAGCTAAAAATAGTGGAATATTAATATGATTTTCAGATTTACGTTTATTTATTTATTTATTTAAAAAATACAAACAATTTCTTTTGTATAATTGGTAATGATTGTTGTCTTCCTTTAAAAAGACCATGGTTCAAACCCTGAAACTGATGTCTTTTTTATGAATAAGTAATAAATAATAATTGTAATGACATATTTACCCTTCCTACTTTCGCTCTCATGCCCCGAATTATGAAATGCTGAAAAACTGCCACCAACTCCGCTATAATATATTTGTAGACTTTAGCTTCAAACTCACACATGGTAGCAAAGTGAAATGGATTAGTTCCAAACTCACGCATGGTAGCAAAGTGAAAAACTGTCACCAACTCTGCTATAATATATTTGTAGACTTTAGCTAATGACATATTTACCCTTCCTACTTTCGCTCTCATGTCCCGAATTATGAAATGCTGAAAAACTGCCACCAACCTCCGCTATAATATATTTGTAGACTTTAGCTTCAAACTCACACATGGTAGCAAAGTGAAATGGATTAGTTCCAAACTCACGCATGGTAGCAAAGTGAAAAACTGTCACCAACTCTGCTATAATATATTTGTAGACTTTAGCTTCAAGCTCACACATGGTAGCAAAGTGAAATGGATTAGATTACTCTTTAATGGTCGTTTTATTAACCCAAAATGTGGCTGACTGGCCGGGCTAAAGGAGATAGCAAACCAAGATCAAAGCCATGGTGTTGACAATTGCGGTAGCTAACCATAAAAAATAAAAAAATTGCGGTAGCTTGTTAAAGTCGCATGGGACACAAGCGGTGAACGGCCAAGAAGTATTTACCATTTTCGACCGTGGCGGTGAAACGTTCATCGCTTTTGACGACCGCGGTGATGTTATTCATTGCGGTTGACGGCTGCGGTGAAGCCCAAACATTTGTAGATTGTGAATATTTTTTTATAATATATGTATTTTTTGAATTTTTGTTAATAAAGTGTGTATGTTGGGATTTTTCCAACATTTTAGTATTCATTTTCAGGTGAAACTAAATGGATGTTAGGAAACTTTTTATGGTCAATGTTAGCCATTCAGTGCATACTTTTTATACACTAAGTTTGAACCTTTGTTTACACCTAAAAATTAATTTCAAACAACATTAATTAATTACAAGACATTCAATGTATTTATAAAGTCATCTCAAAATTAAAAATTAAATGAGCTAGTTGTGCCTTATTGAATTGGGTTTTTGGGACATAAGCGATTGAGTCCCTCTCCCTGGCCTAGGCGTCAACCGCCACCCATGGCCTTTATATCAGCCGTCCCATCTATCTTGTAATAAGCTAGTTGGTATGAAATCCGGCTCTTAAAAACTAAGACTGGAAACATGGCAAGTTTGGGCCAAACAACATGGTACCAAACCGATGAGACATGTTGTTTGGTAGGAAAATATGAAATTCGGCAAAGTCTGGAATCCTGATGACTTGGTAGTAAGACGACAGAGTATCAAGCTGACAAGACATACTTGGTATCAAGTTACCAAACCTCCCAGAAACTAAATATGAAACATGGTGCCAAGCTGATGGCACATGCTTGGTGGCAACTGGGTACCAAGCCGGTAAGACAACAGAGCCTGACGAGGCAGAAGGAATATCTTCCCGATCTTCCACTATGTCAATTGGATCAGTTCTAAAAATTGCTCAAAGATCAGAGTCTATTCCTCGAAGGAAAAGGCAAATTCATGTTTTACACACTGGATAATTGGTTCCATTAAACCATGGGGGATTAGAGCTTGTAGGGAAGGATGTAGGAGAGTATGTGCCGACCATTTGAGAAGAATCGGCAAACTTCTTAATAGCAGTGAGCTCGAACAAGAAGCTGACACTTATACCCTTTGGTGGATTGACTGCCATTAGTTGTGTTTATTATGGAAAATGGAAGTGTAAAGTGTATGAAAGATGAGGAATTGACAGAATTAGTTGATCTCTCGACCATTTTAAAGTCGTGTAAGGTCATGCTTTTCTGATGAAGATACGTTGACATACAATTAGTAGACAAGGAGCTGGCCAACAATGAAGAGTCCGTCGAGCCTAATGTCCTTTGACCAATCATGCAGAGTTTAATTTCATATCCAGTGTTGTTGATATGCTCAGGATAAAATACAATCATTCTTCAATCGAGAGGTGGATGAAAGATGGGAATGACGTCTGTTTGATTACTAAAATCCAAATCGAAGATATAGGTTTTGTAAAAATTATAATATATAAAAGATTTAAAAACACTCTAATTGTTATCATATCTAAAGATTTTTGTAAACTCACATTTACTCTGCTTTGATTTTTTGAATTGAGGACGACGTCTTCTTGGTTGGTTAGATGAACGCTAATGTTACTCGACCAACAAAGTGCTTGTGCTTTCCTAAAGATGTGAAATGGAGTGGCCAAAACATTGCTCGAAGAGCCAGGAACATAAGATTTCAAGCAGCTTATATGTTGCTAGGATTAAGAGTTGATTCTTGATTGCGCATATGATTGTTTATCCGAACTTGCCTTGTCACACTTATGGTGTCGAGATGCCTATGCATGAGCGGATGCGACAAGTATGAAGCTTATTCATAGTTGCAGCTCGAATACCATACATATAGGGAAGTGACCTTATTGCATACTGTGACATATGCAATATGAATGTCGACTCTCCCACGTGCCTTGCTAAAGCGTGGAATCCACGATCACTATCCTGAGGGGGAATCGTTCATAATCATAGCAAAGTCAATGGAACTCTAAGGGGAGCTTGCCTGTGTAACACCTTTCTCTTATGCTTCCTCACTTGTCCAGTAGCGTAGATTTACTTTTCCGCAACGCATTACTTCGAACTCTTATTTTCTGCAAAATAGGAGGCACCTCAAACTCCAAAACCGCTCTCTTCTTCAGTAGAATCGTACCTCACTTCCAAAGTAAGGTTCTGCGAGAGGCCCTACAGAAATACGATCCTGGCCTTAGGGCGTGGTAAATTTGGCTCAGTTCTACAACAGATCAAATTTTGGCACCGTTGCTGAGGACATCTAGCAAGTTTCAGAAAAGAGAACGAGGTAAGATTCTATTATTTTTTCTGTTCGTGTTTAATTTTTTTCGTTTTTAGTCAAAAGTAGTCCCGACAGAACCGACGTCGGAGTGCTGATTTTCTTCCATAAACCGGCGGCCAGAGCTCCAGTTTTGCCTTTGTGTTTATTTCATTTTTGTTTTTAATTTTCTTTTCGTATTTTTTTTTTGATTTTTTTTTTGTCGCGTGTGTGTGGCTGGAGTTCAGGGAACAAGTGCAATGACTCCAAAAACGACGAAAATACTTCAAGTTTTTTTCGTAGATAGCACCAATTTTTGAGGAGGTCGTTCCACTTCCAAAACTTGACCTCTTTCCTGTCCATTAGCCTTTCACAAATCAGGGCCAAAGTCAAGAAATTTAGACAAAAAAGATTTGCTCAAGGTTATGAGTGCATGAGTGGTAATTCATATTCATCTGATAAGAGGACGGCACCTCCCAAAAAGAACAGAGTAAAGAAGAAGCTACTTCCCGCTCTTTACTCAAACCTTCTCTTAAATGAAGGTTCAAAAGTCCAGAGCAAATCCTGTGCCTCTGAACCCCCATCACCTAGAGCTATGGCCGAACGAACTCTATATGAGTATACAAGGCCTCAAGTTGTGAATATCGCTTCCAACATCGTCCTACCTCAGGTCAATGTGGCTAACTTTGAGCTATACTAGTTAGCCACACACTTCAATAATCCATAGTGTCCAGAATGTTGGACGTTTTCAGGGTCGAGACAACGAGAATCCAGTCGAGCATATCAAAACGTTTATGGAAATATGTGATTCTTCACAGCAGCTAAGCGTAGAGGCTACGTCTCTTTCCTTTCTCTCTCGTAGGAAAGGAAAAGAACTGGCTATTTGGGCAACCAGAAGGATCATTCCAAACGTAGGATGCATTGGTCCAAACTTTTATCGAGGAGTTCTTCCCTCAATGGAAAACCGACAAGGTAAGGGACCAAATCGCTTGATCCAGGAAAAGACCTCATGAGTGAAAAAACCCAAGAAATGGCCAAAACTCTTCCAAGCAACACAAAGAACAACCCAAAGGAAGAGGTTAAGAAACTTGAGGTCAGATCGTCTATTTATGCCCACGACACGAACATGGAAAGGGATAGGAACTCAGAGGATACAGAGCTGGAAGTTAAGGTGGAATTTTCCTACCGGGCACAAAATGGCGCCATAGACGCCCCTTTTGGGCTAAAAATGGCGCCAAGAGAGGCAGTGCTTGAGACCCCCAGAAAAAACTCAAGAAGCTGGGCCTTCGATCATTCTGGATTCTTATGGGCTGCACAAGCAGAAACTGAGGTCGTCTGGACCATAAAGGTACGCTTAGGGAAACTTGAGATGGATGTCGACCGTGCTTAAATTCCTTTCTCTCCTTGCTATGAGTTCCCAAGACTTATTTTGGGAAAAGAAGCAAGTGAAGAACAAAATTCCTAACGTGGCGACAATCTCATATGTGGGTGAGGGAAACACGAACCAACGAAACTCCTACAAGGGGCATTTCACATACCCTCACAACAATAAGGAAGCTTGTAACCCCATATGAAGGCTCTCGTAATCACCTTCTTCACAATGAGGAATATTCTCTTTACTCGGGCATGACCCCTCCCACTCCTAAACTCTTGTACGAACATATTGGCTAGGAGGTAAAAACTGTCATGACGATTAAGGTGAGGATCAGTCCTCACCAGAGAGGAATTGGTGGCCCTAGTGATGAAAAATCTTTCTAAAATGTCTCATGATCGTGAGTTATCTCACAAACTCACGATGGAAGACATAACTTCCCACATGCAACTCTTGGTGCTACGAAATTGCCTGATCCGGGTCGAGTCGTATTCCCATGTGCTATCAATGATCATCACAAAATGAAAGCACTTATCGATCTAGGGTCTAGTATTAATGTTATGCCCTTCAATATATTTTGGTCGCTCGACAAATACAAATTGGAGAGCACAAACAAGACTATTTCCTTGGCTGACAATTCGGTTTGTCGACCATTAAGTATGACGAGGGATTTGAAGGTCGAGATAGGACCCTTCGTGTTCTCTCTTGACTTTGTATTACTCGAAATGCATAGAGATAGAAATTACTCATTTTTTTAATTATATTAATATTTTATTAATATATGATGAATGGTTGATTGGTAGAGATGATTGAATTCGAGATTGAGAAGAAGATACTTGGATATTTGGAGAAGATTCGAATAGAATTAGGGATTGGAAAGGAGATTGGAATAATCTAACGATACTTTGATACTTTGTTTATTGATTGATTCTGACGAAATAGGTAAAATGACAATATATAGATGATAACCCGAAACCCTAATCAACCTACTCGGCTAAACTTACTAAAATACCCTTAACTACTACTCGTGCCTCCAACAGTCCACCCCTCTTAAAATCAACCTTGACCTCAAGGTTAAAACGAAAACAACTCCCACAACACGACTAAGAACATAATCAAATCTAACGAAGACTTCTACTAATAATAAATGAAAATGGCAATTGGTGGTGAGTATGAAGCTGGCAATTGAGGCGTTCCTCCCATTGTCTAGAGATCGGCTAATGAATTTGGAAGTGGCAGGCTGTGACTTCTTCCTTTTTCCTCCACATCCTCTTAGCTTTCCTCTTTCTGAACTTCCACATATGTATCAGGATCCCACAGCTTTGTAATGGAAATAATAATGGACCAATCCTCCATTCTATTTGACCCTCCAGATGAATCCCCTTCACCGCTAGCTTGGTGATTTGTTGTGGGCTCAGAAGCTTCAAGATCTCAACTGCAAATTGCATTGTGATAGAAATAGTTGGGATGGACATTTTTGTTGTTGGGAGCTTGGCAGCCACGAAGACCTTCACTGGTTGTTTTATACTTTTATTGCAGCGAGTGAAGCTGTACCCTGGTGATGACATAGAGTCTTGGCGGAGACTATCTTAAACATGGTAACAACAACGACAACCTTGGTAGAAATCTCCTCACCAACTGTTGGCGACGACGAGATGGAGAGGAATGCGCTCTTGTTCTTCATTGCATCTGAGCTAGAGGCTCGCTTGGAAGAAGAAGGCCCCATCGTCGCTGAGACTTCTCCTTCTGTTGTCTTGGTAGCTGCGACTGAGAGCGTCCCACCATCGCCGAGTTCCCGCGACGCCAAGGCCTTCGTCGGCTCGATCGGATGAGTTCGATTCTCGTCCCCCTCTCGCAGTACACGTCCAACCTCCGCACAAAATCGCAAGGTTCCAGCCCCCTGTACCCCTCCAAAGTGAGACAGGTCGCGGCGGTGGAGAGCATCGCATCGCTGAGTTTGCCCGAATCTGGCTCCTTTGTTTGTTCAACCCGATGAGACTGGTTCGCCGCCATCTCGCGCAATTGTCGTTTGTACGAATCGAACTGCTCCTACAGTCGTTCCATGAAACTCTTGACCGCTACCTCGAACGCTCCCAAAGATTGGAACCGCTCTAATACCATATGATGAATGGATGATGGGTAGAGATGATTGAATTCAGGATTGAGAAGAAGATACTTGGAGATTTGGAGAATATTCGAACATAACTAGGGATTGGAAAGGAGATTCGGATAATCTAACGATGCTTTGATAATTTGTTTATTGATTGATTCTAACGAAATATGTAAAACGACAATATATAGACGCTAACCCGAAACCCTAATCAACCTACTCGACTAAATTTACTAAAATATCCTTAACTACTACTCGTGCCTCCATCAATATATTAGAGCCTTCATAATATAATGCTGAGGCTCCAGTGCAAAATCCACAGGTTTTGTACGCCTACAAAATCATTCATCAGTGTCTTATCATGATATTATCACTATAGCAACAATGATATGACACCGACGTAATGATACTAATATGATGTAAGTAGGACAGTGATATGATGTTAGTATGAGGTCTTATGCTAGCCAAAACATCACAAAATGGATATCACTGTATACATATTAATAAATGCGTTCTTTCTATACAATAGTTTTCAAACTTTGAGTTGAAATGAAGAAGACCAGTCATCATATCATGATATCATCATGAATATGACAGTGATATGATGTTGGTATGAGGTCTTATACTTGACAAACCATATAAAAATGGATATCACTGTGTAGATTTTACCGAATGCGTTCTATACATTTTTTTTTTAATTTTGAGTTGAAATGAAGGAGATGGATCATCATATCATTATCATATCATGATGATATGATCGATATAACAGTGATAATACTACAACCGAGATGTGGTTTGAAGAGTTCATTTTTTCTTTTCTCAAAATATATTAAAATGGATATAATTATTGTGTATATTATAATTAATACGTTCTTTCTATGCATTTTTTTTAATTCAGAGTTAAAATGAATGCTAAACTACCTGAATTAAGAAAAATACGGGATTATCAAAAGAAGCATTTGACTGGTCAGTGTCTCCCCTCTCTCCTCTGATTTTCGTGTCAGATTCGTCAGACATATTAGGAAAAAAGACATAGGGGCACGGACATTACCAGTTCGCTCCTCCATGTCTTTTGCATCTATCTTGGGCCGTCAGATATGATTAGTATTGGACGGATGAAGATGTGGTTTGGTAGGGTTTTGTAGGATAGGATTTTGTACCATATCATTTCCCATAATATAATTTATTAATTCGATGACTCTATCAAAATTTAAACGGGTGGTTAGGGCTGCAAATGAGCCAAGCTGCTCACGAGTAACTCGGCATTCGAATCGAAAAACTCGTTCGACACTCATCTAGTTATTTAACAAACGACTCGATCGCGAGCAGTCTCGTTAGCAAAGCTTGAGTTAGACCACGCTCAGCTTGATAAGCTCGTGAGGTAGATTGACTCGGTGGCTTGTTGAGCTAAGCTCGGGACCTGACTTGTTTAGAGCTTGTAGAATGATTAATTACTCTTCTGAACACAAGCATTATCTTGTTAATACGAATGTATACGGAAGTTAGCCGTCAATTTTAGTTTATATAAATTCTTATGTTTACGCATTTTCCAGCAAGAATAATTCAAATCGAGCTAGCTTTAACTCGGGTTGACAAGTTGGGTTAATGTGCATTTACCGAGCTCTACCGAGTCGAGCTCAAACTACATTATCTTTATTCACGCCAAACACGAGCTCGAGCTGGATTATCAAAACTCGCGTCGAGCCGAACTCAAACTGAAAAATTCATAAATGAGCCGAGTTCAAGTTAAACAAAAACTCGACTCGACTCGACTCGTTTACAACTTACAAGTGCTTCTTGTCACAAAGGAGATTGACAGTAACGTTGTCGACGACCTTGCTTTTTTGATTAATATATAACATCCAATAATGTCTGTCCTCAAAAGTCAGAACCCATCTGAGGCTTAGTCTATCCGTTGAATCTCTAATCTCACATCAGAGCTAGTAGAACGGTGGTTGTGTTCCTTTCTTTATTTTTATTCTTTTTCATTCCTTTCCTTTTCACGGCCTCTGTCGCCGTTCATATATCCCTTTACCATATTCTCTGTTTTTGCCGTCTAATGAGTTTTCCCTATGCAATAATTCCATAAAAAACGAATATAAATATGCCAGCTGCAGCTATAAATGCAGACTGGGGAAAGCTGTCCCAGAACAGAACAACAACTTGGATAGCAAACACAATACTCATACAACAATGGGTTCCCAATCTTGTCCCAGCAGCAAGCTCCCGCTCTTAGACTTCTCTATGCCAGAATCAACGAAACCGGGCAGTTCAGAGTGGGAATCTCTGAAACCACAAGTCCGTGAGGCGCTGGAAGAGTACGGCTGCTTCGAGGCCTGCTTCGACGAGATTTCTTCGGAACTTCTTGGCGCTGTTCTGCGATCGACGGAAGAGATTTTCGAGCTGCCTTTGGAGTCCAAACAGCGGAATGTGTCCGAGAAGCCCTACCACGGTTACGTGGGGCAAATTCCTCAATTACCGCTGTACGAGAGCTTGGGGATAGATGAAGCCACGGTGACTGAAAGGGTTGAAACTTTTGCCAACACGCTGTGGCCTCAAGGGAACCCAAACTTCAGGTAAATTACCATTTCTATCATCGTTCGTTGGTTTAACGTAAAAAGTGAATATTTCTAATGTTTTTCTTCTAGATTATATATACTCATATGAGTTGACCTGTCTCAATTTGTGCTCCATAATAATTTACCCGACATGTCAGTCACGGAGCTCGTATGAGTAACGAGCTACCCGCCCAAAACCTGTGCCCCATTATCATTCCTACTTCCAACGTGATTAGTTGAGGAGGCTCAAGTAATTATCATCTTATCCTCAAACTTTTATTTTTACAGCAAAACAATCGAGTCCTACGCGGAGAAACTTTCAGAACTGGAGAAAGTAGTGAGGAAGATGATCGCTGAAAGTTTTGGGATTGAGAAACACATCGATGAAAATCTCAACTCCACAAATTACATATTGCGGTTCTCGAAATACAACGGTCCGAACACTGATGATGTCGAACTCGGTATGGCCCAACACACAGATATGAATTTGGTGACCATATTGCACCAGAATCAAGTTGATGGACTGGAACTGCAAACCAAAGATGGGAGCTGGATCAAATTCCAACCCTCTACTCCAAACTCTTTCATCGTTATGATTTCTGAATCTCTTACTGTAAGTACTTCTCTGTTGCTTTCATATTGTAAACTAAGTACGTTTTGCCTCTATAAACTGATAGATAGATATTCACACGTGGCTTTGCAGGCGTGGTTGAATGTTCGACTTCGTGCAACGTGTCATCGAGTTATGATGTCCGGAAATGAGGCGAGATATTCTTTGGGTTTATACTCATATCCAAAAGATGGCTCTATTATAGAAGTCCCAGAAGAAATGGTGGACGAAGAACACCCCTTGCTATTCAAGCCTTTTAATTATGAGGAATTTCTTTCGTTTTACTACACTGAAGCTGGCCAAGCAGCACCTTCTGCTTTGCGTGCATTTTGTGGAATGTAATGAGCTATGATATGAACCTAATCCGAGCTAATCGGGTAGGGTAAAATATGAATCTAAAGAATTTTAAGTGGATATGAATAAAATTCGAATCTGAATATTGCAGGTAAAGGGTGAACATGACACTATCCAACTCGAACTCGTCTGATTATACGCATGAATATATGTATGTATATTTTCTATAAACGATAATCATTCTTCTCGACATATTTGATATTTACCATACATATATAATATTTTCATGAAATTGTGTTGTTTTTAACTAATGATTTATTGTTGTGTTTTTCCACTTACGTACTATCGATATGTGTGTGAATGTTAGCATGTTGATTGGATTTTTAAAGAGATCATTACCTATAAATAACTATCGATACCCGAAACCTAATCGGGTATGGGCACAGTGGTGGAGCCACTTGAGGTCAAGGTGGGTCATTTGCAGAACCTTGGCCCAAAAAATGTGGAGTAAATTTATTTACGTGATTGTTGATTGAATATAAGATGTCCATATTATTGTAGATAATTATTTGAAAAGTAATATTTTGTGGTCTTTATTTAACTTTTTGTTCATATATCCTGTAAGTGTAGGATTAGACCATATACTGGACCAAGTAGCTCATATGTTGCCAGAATCAATCGTTGATTCTTGATTGTACATGGGAGTGTTTATCCAAATTCGCCTTGCCACGCTTATGGTGTTGATGCGCCTATGCATACATGAACCTCGAAGACCATACACGTCTGGAAGCGACCTTATTGCATACTGTGACATATGCAATCTGAAAGTCGACTTTCCCACGTGCCTCTTTTAAGCTTGGAACCCACGATCACTAACGTGAGTGGGAAGCAACCAAATAGGATCATAGTAAGAGGAGAAATCGATTGTGGATTCCCATAAACACGATTATGTGTACTCAGAATTGTAGAAAAGTCAAGGAACTTTAGGGAGAGTTGACCTATGGCACACATGGTCTTCTTTCCTTCCTATCACATTAGTAGAGTATAGTGTATCATCTTGTGTTGTTTGCAAGGTTCAAGAAGGAGTTGGGCGCTAGGTAGGCGTCGGGCCACTGCCTAGCCCCTAGCATGCCTAGGCGTTTTAGCACAAGTAGCAGTTTTTAGTAGTAATAACAATTTGATAGCACGTTTTTAGTTTAGTTCAATTTCAAATGTTAATAACTTAGCTAACCCTAAACAATAATTAAAATAGGTCATGACCTTGAATTGCAATTCTTAATCGAGAAATAAGTGATGGATGCGTTGAATATAGGACACCTAGAGATGACGTCATTTTGGAAAGATTAGCAACAATTCTTTTAATAATTGCTCTACTATTGAACTTAAGCGCGACTCACTTGGATTAATAACACCTCACACCGATTAATCGTGCATATTTTTGCCAAATCGTCGCTTTTACTTTATGAATGCCTAATTGTTTGCCTAGGACCTAGGCGAGGCTTTTTGTCACTGCCTAGTGCCTAAGCGCGTCTAGCGTACGCAAAATTACTCCTTCTTGAACCTTGGTAGTTTGCACAAGGTAGAACTCGTCCCTCCCACAGAAGTAAGTGGTTGTGAGAAACCCGAGGTAATACGATCTGAGCACCCATCGTGTGCTTAGTAAATTTGGTAGCTTCATTACAATCGACATCAATCTACCTTAAAATAACCTGAATCGTATGATGAGTGATTGATGTGGGTGGATTAAGGATTGATAAATCTCATACCCGTACTTATTCGGGTGGGTGATGGGTGATTGTGGGTCACCCAAATGACCCACATCATATGTTCACATGTACAAAGCCG